CACACACACACACACACACACACACACACACACACACACACACACACACACACACACACACACACACGCACACACACACAACAGTACGGCCTCTACGGTCTTCTGCTGCACACACATGCAAAGATGCACATGCACAATCTTCTGCGTGCACGAGGAGACACAGGCTTGTCCGGGAGCTTGTCATGCAGTTGGTGTTGGGCACTTGCTAAGTTAGTGGGCAAAGTCTGGGGGACCGAGGCCAGCATCTGTAGCCGTTCCTTCCCATTGATTCTGTAGGGATTTAGAATCACGCGAATATTCGCAATCTAACCTCTCACTTCTGCTTTCCTCCCTCCCCTGCGTACATGTACCCAGCAATTTAAACTTCTCCGGAAGATTATTTCTGTTCTCATTCATGGCAGGATGGATGCAGTCCACACTTAACCAGATGTTTCTCGTCCATCCCCTCTCTTCCTGTCCTCATAGTTGCTTGTCCTGTGTAGTACCTATATAGCGGTGCCTTGGCACGGATATAACCGAGGTTCTTTTCTAGTTAGCTAGGTAGAGTCCCGATCTTTTGCCTAGGAAGCGTAGGCAGTTGATTAACCTTGGTTCTGTTCTAGTTAGCTAGGTGCTTGAGAAAGTTATTTCTATGTGGTTGAATAACGAGCATGAAGATGCTTCTCCTCACCTTTCATCAGTTTAGTTGGAAGCAGGGAGCTGCCTGAGTTTTGGAAGTGCGTGGACTGACAGCTTGATGCTTGCCAATCCATTTCAGAGCAATCACTTGGGAGGAGGTGTGGGGGTGTCAGGCGGGGGGTGGGGGTGGCGGTGGGAGTGAGAGTGGGAGTTGAGAGTAGGACAGTGTCAATACAAGTCTTACAAACGAGCTCCTTTAAGATGCTATTGGATGGGCGGGAACTCCATGCTCATCACTGTAGAGTTCTCTGGACAGGGAAAACCCAACGTAGCTCTTTCGTGTAGGGAGGATGCAAGCAAGCAAGGATAGAGAGCGAGAGGGAGCAGCTCTCACTCCATGTGTATTTTTGGTTCTGAATTTTTCGTTTTTTTCTAAATTTTGTGTGTGTGTGTGTGTGTGTGTGTGTGTGTGTGTGTGTGTGTGTGTGTG